CTACATGACCACGGAGCCAGCATGCCGGCCACATGACCATGGAGATGTCTTCAGACAGTGCTGGCTCTTCGGCTTTGAAACAGAGATGAGCACCACCCTCTAGAGCTGGGAACTGGCACATATGTGTGAGGGGAACCTTTACAAATGAGCATGATAAAATAATATTGCAATAATTTTGATTTTAATGAGCAATGTCACAAGTGATGTTGCCATAGCTCTTGAAAAATTATTGCCAATGAAAATGATTTTTGCTCCCCAAAATCTTCCAGTATTCATTCTTACATATCGTAATTTCAACACTTATTGTAAAATGATACTGATGCATTCTGGAAGAGTAGAGCCATTCAATTTTCTTTAAATTATTATCTGTTGATAGTAATTTGGGGGTGTAAGATAGCATTGATGGCATCAAATAAATAATTAAATAGATAGCTTGCATTTTTCATATAGGCATTCTCCCAAACCATGCATTTATTATGTGATAAGCATCAAATTTACCATTCAATCCCAGTATTTTTTACACATAATGTGGAAATGGAGGGAGTAGAAATAGAGAAGAATTTAACCCAAAAAAGAGAGCCTAACTTCTTCCATGATGTTAGAGAGAATTTATAATTTAATCATTCTAATCTTTATTAAGACTCTACTTAGTACATTGGTTATTACACAGAATGTCATACATGTTCCAACTAGTAATTTTAAATGCTGCAATGTAGATGCAATAAATAATTTTCATGGCAATGTTTGAAAAAGAAATGCCCAATTTTTTTAAGGTAAAAAGATTTATTATCTGGAAATTTATCTGTTCAATAAAATGAAAAAAATCCACAGACAAGACATGTTTTAAGATGAGAACTCTTAGGAAGATTCCTATAAAGAACCTGAATCAGTGCATGCATAAATTTAAAACACAAGCTATTGGAAATGCTTTAGGTCTTACTGGACAACATAAGATAACTGAATGTGTAGTTTGGTAAAATATCCCCTTAAAGAAAATGATTCATGCCTTAGCAAGAACATATAGATTGTGATCTATCCATCCAACTTAATCTTCTGTAGCTTCTTCTCTGATAATATTGTACTGCTAACCAGAGCATACAAAACATTTGCTAGACCAATTCTCGAATACAGCTCATCTGTCTGGAACCTACACTTCATATCGGACATTAATAAAATTAAGCAAGTCCAGAGATATTTCACAAGAAGAGTTCTCCACTCCTCTGCTCGCAACAGAATACCTTGTACCACCAGGCTTGGAATTTGGGGCTTAGACAGAGGCCACCTTCAGCCTGACATAAGCGTAGTACATACAATTATCTGCTACAATGTCCTACCTGTCAATGACTACTTCAGCTTCAACCACAATAATACACAGGCAAACAATAGATTCAAACTCAAGGTAAACAACTCCAAACTTGACTGCAGAAAATATGACTTCTGCAACAGAGTGGTCAATGCCTTGAATGTACTACCTGGTTCTGTGGTTTCTTTCCCAAACCCCCAAAACTTTAACCTTAGACTGCCTACTGTTGACCTCATCCCATTCCTAAGAGGTTTGTAAGGGGTGTGCCTAAGTGCACCAATGTGCCTACCGTCCCTGTCCTAACAACCCTATTTATTCATATCNAGCAAACCCCTACCACCCACCATGAAAGCTGGAACACCCACTAGTGGGCGGTAGGGACAAGGTTGACTACCATTGACCTAGATCATATTATTTTTCCAGGTGAGATCTTCACTAAGATGGACTTCCAGGAATTTGAAAGAGGAGACCCTCTCCACACAGCCCCCCTGATGTAGAGTGGGGCAGCTTACCTATTTAACCTACAACATAGCTATTAAGGTTCAACACATATTTCATATTTTGATTCTACCTCTACTTCACGTATATATTTAGAACATCCCATGTGGAATTTTTAAGTCATTCCAAAGAGTCATATCAGCAAATGTGACTTAATATATGTTTAAAAATGTCCTAATAGTTTGCATTTTATTGGAAATGAAGCATTGAGTTTTATACTGTATTACTGAAACAATGCTTTTAACATCCTCCTGCTTGGTTTTCCACTTTTATATTGCAACAAATAATACAAGAATTTCTCCACAGTACATCAGACACTACGGATGTAATATTCCATTGCAACTAATCTAATTTCTCCATCACTATTGCCCCAATTCTTGTCATATCAGTGGTGAGATTCAGCCAGTTCGCACCTATTCGGGAGAACTGGTTGGTAACTTTCTAACCAGTTCAGAGAACTGGTTGTTGGAAGAAATCTCATTTTGTTTTTTTTCCCACTTTACAGGGCTAATCCTGTAAGGAAGGCAGGAAGGAAAAATTCTGGTGTTGTTTCTAGCTTAATGTGTTTGCCCTGCTTACAGAAACTGCCTCTCCGTTTAACCCTTTGTAACAGGTTAGGCGAAGCACCCATCAACATGAGTGACATTGAGTTGACCACGCCCACCCAGTCACATGACCACTGTGCCCCACATACTCAACTGGTCATTAGGGCAAAGAACTGGTTGTTAAATTATTTGAATCCCACCACTGTGTCATATCCTGTAACTAACTTTTCCCCAATTAATCCTGCATTCTTTTGTTTTCATTAAATATCATTTTTTATTTTATTATATAAAATATAAAATGCAAAAAATAAAGAAAATGGGAAATTAAGGGCGGAAAATGAGGAAGGGAAAGGGGAGGGTGTGTGTGAAATACAAAAGTGAAGAGAAAAAGAAATAAAAGGGAGCAGTGATTTCCAACTCTTCCTAACACAGTATACAAGATAAACACACTCCAGTCTCAACTTCTTGCTTTTACATTCTTTTATTTTCAGTCAATACCATTAAAGGGAACTGGAATTGATAGACTGATAAATTATTATGCAAAACCCTGCTTCTCTGTCCCTAGTTCTGATAGTAGATGCTATTTTTTTCTTAAATATGACTTTAATAGAGAATCAAACTTTAGAGAGGCAGAGCACACACCTCAATATTCTTAGATCTCTCAAAAGAAAATATTAGAAGATTTATAGCCACAAGTCTGGGGAATTAGTCCATCATACCTGAATTCCTTTGTACTACCAAGGAAGCTTTGTTAAAAATAATCTCTTTATTTCAAGAACAACCCTTTTCTTCCTATATCCTAAATTCTCCCATTTAAAACAAAGAACAGGGTGTCGATGATTATCTACGATGCTTGGTCTGAGTTCTACCAAACCTCATACCTGTGGCATCTTGTAGAGGGACAGGA